TAATTGATAAATCCACATTAATAAAGGTAATAATAATTAAGGAAATAATTACGCACGTGGAGGTGCTTAACAATAAGGAAATAATGCGCCACTTTACCGTATTAAATACGTGCTAGGAAAAGTTAAAAGATGCAAGTGTATTAATCAATTTTTTAGCATCAAAACCGTACTTGACCTAATTTCCCCTAATATTATTTTATTAAAGAATATATGATTGAAATAAGAGAAAGAAAATTTCATTTTTTTTAAAAAAAAGTGAATATTCCATCAAATTCATTACTACCAATTACCAAAGGTCTAAAATGAACTTATTCATAGACTTTTGGTTAGAACAAATGTCGAACAATTCTTATATTTCAAGAACTATAATATTACATAGCAGTAGTACTTGAAGTTGTGTTTGAAGAAATCAATGTCAACCAAATTGATATTAAGCAATATCACCGATAGTACAGTCCAATACCACCTAAACTTATGATGAGCAACTAGCGATACCAAAGCACTACTCATGTAGTAAATATTCTAAATTGCGTAATAAATTATGTACTGTCGATAAGAGTCCAATATTACATAAACTTGTGATGAACATAGCTGGTGCTACAAAGCGCTACTTGTGAAGTGAATGTTTTAAATGGATGTCCAATACCACTCACCCCTCTTTGATACACATTCTCACAAAAATTCATTCTTTCAAAACTCATTTTCATCCACACATTCTTCTTTGAAATAATATTATACGCAAATTCAAAAAAATTTCTTATTTTTTAATCACATATTTTTCATCACATCACATCATAAAATGCATTTTCTTCTCCATAATGTGCATCAAACAACCCCTAAATTTGTGATAAGCACAGTTGTTACTACAATACCTACATAAATGTTCTAAATTGCATAATAATTTGAGCACGTGCTTATTTCTTTATAGTGAGTCTAGATAATTATTCCCTCTTTAATTGTTGGGATAAAGGCCAAGAGCTAACAATTTCGGGATGATTTGAAAATAGAGAGGTTTTAAGGGTGGCGTCATGAACTTAGATTTTAATGAATTTCGTGATTTTGAATAGAGTTCCACAAAATTCATAAAAATCTTGTTCAAAATTGTGAAATTTCAAAAGAGTTTGTTGTGTGTATTTGTAAACTTGAAATCCATCTAAATCTTTTAAAACCTTTTTATTAATGAAATCATTGTAAATTTTGAATTATCGATGATATCTAAATTTTAAAGGATTTCACTAGAACTCATCAAAATCTCAATTGCGAACCCCTTAATTTAGAAGAATTTTTAAAATTCATCAAAATTTCAGTTGAGGATAACCCCGTAAATCTTCACTTCAATTCCATAATTTCCATTCTCTTCAAGCACTGTGCAAGTATTGAACTTTGATTTGACAATTAATTAGTGTGCTTCGACTGAAGTAATTGATTTTGACTTCTTTTTCAATTAATTTTATATTTACACAAAGGGTAATTAGCACATAATGTTCCCACTTTTCAGTGTTATTGTGGAAAATGTTCATACATTTCATTTTTTGGCATTTTCACATTTCATTGAGCAAAATGTCATTTTCATCAATTTTCTTAATTAAAAATTATAAAATGACGAATATACCCTTTTATTTAAATAAAATAAAAAGGAAAAGAAAAAAATTAATTGCAATCATAATCCCAAATTTTTAAAAAAATTACAAACAAGTCCCCAATGAATTATTAAAAAATTTATTTTTTTAAAAAAAAGTTCTAACGAGTCCCAATAAAATTTATTAAAAATTAAAAATAAAAAAAATAATAAAAAGTGCAAACGAGTCCTAAATAAATTATCAAATAATTAGAAATTTAAAAAAGTATTATTATTTTTTAAATATAAGGGTATATTCATTATTTCACAATTCTTTATTGAGAAATTGGATGAAAATAATGGTTTGCGCAATCAAATGTGTAATTAAGGGTGAAAATGCCAAAAGAATGAAAGGTATGAACGTTTTTCGTAATAACGGTGAAATGTATGGACATTATGTACTAATTACTTTTTTAATAATTTATTTGGGACTCATTTCCGCTTTTTTAAAAAAAGAAATTGGAACTATGGTTGCAATTAGCTTCTTTTTTTTTTAAAGAAAATGATATATTCGTCATTTTATAATTTTTAATTGAGAAAATAAATGAAAATAGCATTTTGCACAATGAAATGTGAAAATGTCAAAAAATAAAATGTATGGACGTTTTCCATCATAACAATGAAAGGTGAGAACGTTATATGCTAATTACCCTTACACAAACATCAACTTAGGCAAATACCACAACGTTTGATAGTCATTCTTCTAAAATATATTTTTCTCTCTTATTTTCAGCCACAATTTACACTTACACAAACATCAACTTAGGCAAATACCACAACGTTTGATAGTCATTCTTCTATAATTCATTTTTCTCTCTTATTTTCAGCCACATATTTTTCAATAAAATAATATTACACGCAAATTCAAATTTTTTTCTTATTTTTTAACCACATATTTTCCATCAAAACACTATTTAAAATGCATTTTTAGAAGAATAACGTGGCTCAAGGTATAAACAAGGATAAATTACATGGAAACTACTAGAATAACGCATGCAACACGTCGGTGATTTTCTGAGGATACTTTAAATAGATGGATGCCAAAGTGGCCTAAGCATGAAGGGTAAAAAGAAAAAGCAAGTTGCCTTATTTGCTTCTCCTAATTCATATTTGACCGGATAAATGCAAGAAAATCAATTAACCAACCTTCACAAAGTAAAATAGCGCCCCCCCACCCACACCCAAGTAAAAAAAAAAAAAAAAATTACCTACCACCCAACTATAATCAAAACTTGTTCGACTCAATTTCAATTAAAATTGGTTCGATTTGAATTTTGGAATTTAAAGAAAAACGCATTTGGTCTAATTTTCAATTTTAGCTACGTAACCAAAAATATGATTCGGTTCACAAAATATCTTCTTCCAGTAAGTGGACAGTCTTGTCATGTCCACCGTGAGCAAAAGAACAATTTCGATTTAAACAGAAAGCTAAAAGTAGAATAAGAAAATTTACTTAATAATTTACAGTTTACAATTTTATTTTGAAACATAAAAGAATCGTGCAAAAAAATGTTTTCCTGGTCATGTTTCTTTTCCATCTTTATTATACAACCACTTTTCTTTCGGCCAGTCTAATAATTAAAGTGCTAAAGCAAATACCCCAGCCAGTGACTAGTATTCATAAACCGCCAACTCTTTTTGTATCATCAGTGCCTTACCCTCCAAAAATATGAAGCCTGCTGACATTCAAGAACAGAAAGAAAACTGAATAGTAGCTGCTCAAAACTTATGGGAAACTGCTTATTTGGAGGCATGGGAGAGTGCAACAGCAACAATGAAGTGATAAGAGTCGTAAATTCCAACGGCGGAATTATGGAATTTTACGCACCAATAACAGTCGAGTCCATAACCGATGAATTCCCCGGTCATGGCATTTTCAGAAGCCATGACCTCTTCTGGAATCCACTCCCACACAACCAAGAATTACTAGCTGGAGAATCCTACTATCTCTTAGCATTACAAGACAGCAAATCAGGCAAAAGTACTAGTAATCCTGCACAAGTTGGGCATGTGAGATCAAACAGTGTGCCTCATCAATCCCTTGTCGCCGTCCCTCCATACAGAATGTCTCTGGATAGCCAGCAGGGATTAGGATTACTGAAAAGGTCATATACTAAAACTTCTGAATCATTTTCCTGCAGCAAGTATTATGGGAATTGCGGTGGATTTTGGAAAGTGAAGCTGGTTATTAGCCCCCAACAATTGTTGCACATTTTATCAGAGGAGGGCACAACGGAGGAGTTGATTGACAATGTGAGAGCTGTGGCAAAATGCCGAAATAATATTGGAGTACTCGACTCGATGCCCTTTTCTGATCAATGGAGTCTTTCCAGCAGTAGAAATTAATGTTTTTTTCACTGCCATCCCCTCCCTCCCTCCCTCTTTCTTGTTGCCTTAATTCTTCTAGTTCTAACTAGTACTCTTGTACGCTTATCCTTTCCCTCTTGTACGCTTATCCTTTCCCTCTTAGAATCTTGTTTTCTCCGTGAATTCCAGTCAACAGTAATATAATAGTCCTTCTATCTCCATAGCATTTTCTTCATTAAATCGTTCATTAGTTAAACTGACTTTTTTATTTCAAATATTTTCTTTACATGCTAGTTACGTTCATTATATAACATTTCAAATAGATTGAACTGTGCATGATGAACATTATCATTCAATATTAGGGTCCATTTAATTGGTAAAGATGGAAAGATTTTCCAATTCCATGTAAGTTGGAAAATAAAAACTCAAATACTCCGTATGAATGCATTTTCCATGAAATTGACAAAAAACAAACTTATAGGGGTTGTACCTTAGAATTCAAACTCCATTTCCAATTTCGTATCAAACAGCCAAAGTAGAAATTAAATTCCTTGAATGTGATATTTTCCATGGAATTTAAACCAATCAAACGGACCCTTAAGAGAATTTGCAGTTTGGCATTGAACTGTCACAACATATTTGGGAGGAAGAGAGTAGTGCGATAATAAACATGATATGCACAACAAAAGAGAGACAATCTTAAAAAATTCAACTTCGGAATCACCGACACTAATTGGTTTTTGACAATTTTGTTTGTATGAATGATGTCTAAATCACATTTCAAAGGACTGGGAAATGTTAATGCCTCTATTCCGATACGACTCCAACCAAAATTGGTGTTGATGTAATTAATTTTTTGTATCTTATGTCAAATTTTTGCTGTTCTCAAAGTACCCAAACAATTACTCGAGAGTGTATAACATCTTAAATCCATATCACTAGACTGACATCAAGGAGTAAAACCAACAGCAATGCCAACGCTTGCAACATGATTTGAATGCCAAGATCTTGTACTTGTGATGGCCTAAACGCTGAGAACTCGAAGTCCAACAGTGTCGAGTTTAGCCACTTGAGTTGGGGCTTATTGACATTTTAGTAAAATACCATACAACTCAATGAGTTACAAATCCTATGTATGAATATTTCTTCCCCATAATCCTAATAAAATTTCTCTCTTTGGACTTCTTGATTTTCTTTGTGACATGCCTGAAGCAATTTTATTTCTTTTCAGACTAATATAGAATTGGAAGAGGTTGGTCAATGAACTAAAAATAGAAATTGCCTATTTTTCTTTCGCCCAAACCCAATATTTCCAAGTGGCAACTCAGACGAATAACAATGTATTGAATTAGCTGAGCTCTTTATGGTACTGCTTGTAGCAAAATACATACATGAGAAACAACAATGGATAGCCAAGAGCGATCACGGACTCGATTTTAGAGGCTGGCAAAATGTTAGGATAATAAGTAGGAAACAGGATCGGAACATTCTGCATCATAGAATGGTGAGATTTTCAGATCTTGAATAGTAACAGCTATGGTCAAGACTGAAGAAACTTTAAGTTCAAAAAACACAGAGATCTACTTTACTAGATATTCTGTCTAAGTTCAATATTAGTTGCTAACTGTCTCAATTTTCTAGGCTTTAAGATAATCAGTGAAAGCAAAAAAGTTAATGTTCGGAACAATATCAACTTTATTGAATCTCTTGTTCTGCCTTTCTTTAATGATTTGACATGCCACAATATTTGCAAACAAGATATATATATTTTGTAGATTAGCAGATTCACAATAATTGAGAATAGATAAAGCTTAAAGTGCTAGAAGATTATATTCAAGTATAACTTCCATATCGTCACATATACACCTACTACCATGGATCCAATTTTCAGCATGTTAGCTACAAGAGCGGGTGAATTTCCCATACCATCTTGGACCTCAAACGAAGTTCCCACACGCACGCGCCTGCAGTTTTCGAGTACAATCAAGGCTTCGTGTTGTTTCTAAACTCCATTGCTAATTAGTAATTACCATTGAAGTGTGAAATCTGTTCACGAACCAAACTGAAAGTCGTGAGTAGCAATCAAAGATAGTGGCATGCTTTGAAACCCAAAAAGCACGTAAATCAGCACATAAAATGTTCTCTCTCAAGATTTTGCAAGAACCAGCACAACGAATTGTCGAATGCTAAAACTACACTACTCTGAGCAGTCTATCTTATCATATACATACTAGGCTGGTTGCTCAGCAATTAAGATAATATAATTTTGCACATGAACTCTTTCCAAGTCAAGGGCCAATAACATCTTAACCAATTTTTGGACATCAAATACTAGGAAACAAGCAAGCCATGTCTCTAAATGAAAATGAAATCGCCCATGTTTGAGCCACATTATTTTTTCATTCTCATTCTTCTACTCATTTTCAACCGCATATTCTTCAATAAAATAATATTTTCCATCACATCAATATATTTTCCTTCTTTTTCAACCACATATTCCCCATCACACAAAAAATAAAAACATTCTTGGGAAAAAATGTGCACCAAACAGAATGTTAGAATGACTAGAACACCCTCTTACTTAGACTCCTGAACACTACTAACAAAATTCCTGCAATTCAATTGTCCACATCATTAATCAAGCATTGTATCCTAATTCCTTTAATTTTGTGTAAACTATGCACAAGTTATCATACAACAATATAGTAATACTCGGATTATGCATTTGAATTCGTCAAACGTTACCTACATACAAATGGAACTTCATCAACTGCTCAATAACACGAACAACAATGATGCATAAAACAGGCTGCAAGTATACATGATTCACAAATTAATTATCCACCCCATTTTCCTGCCTTGCTTCTCTTTAAAATTTAACAACAACAAAAAAAGGAACTCTGGTTCATTCAACAGATTCACCATTGGACATCTTACTAAACTAGTAAAACTCGTGACATTGAAAACGAACCTACTAAATATATGAATGCCACCAAGATGATCCGCATTTGCCTAGCTCAGATACAAATAGGGCAGAGTACCAATCCATTTTCATTACAATCACTACACCTTAACACCATGGTCTTCTTCCCTTGTTTCCCATCCACGTCTGCTCCTTGGTTGATCGCCACAACCATCTTACAACTCCCATTACACCTAAAGCACGGCAAGAACCTTACACCAGCACACCCCTCACACACATATCCGCATCTCGTTTTAGGCAATCCCTGAAGTAACTCTCCTAAAGACCCATCGTCCACTATTTTCATCACCTCATCAATTCCGCCTATGTACTTCCCTTTCACAAACACTCTTGGGGGTATCAACTCACTCTTCTCCTTCCCCTTCATCAGCTCCCTCAATTCATCCCTGAAGCCCCTGTCCATGGAAATATCCCTCTCACAAACCACAACACCAACCCCCTCAATTGCCGATCTAACAGCATTGCAATCTTCAAAAGTCTTCCTGACACCCCTCAACGTCGTCGTATAGATCACCACTTTATTTTCCCCATTTGGCGGGCAAGTCTTTTCAAATCCCTCGAGCAAATGACTATAATTAAAATCATCAGAAAAAGAATACTTTCTCCTAACATTGATATCGTTGGAGGACTTAATAACAACATTCGGATTGAAATTTTCCTCATTTCCTCGCCAGAACTCGGTATGATCAGAAACCGGATGAAATGGTAAAGTGGAAAAACGGAAGCTGGGAATGCGATCGGAATCAAGGCCAGACATGAGGTCCCTTGAATTAATGGTTTCAAGTGTGAAACGCGGAGGTGGGATAGGAGTAGGATCGACAGTGGCAGTAGCAGAATCGTGGTCTGTGTCGGACTTAGGCGGGTCGAGGGTCAAGAGACCGTAAGTAGTGGAGGTAAGGGACACGATGTGGTGACTGAAAGCTGTTGAGCGACCGATTTGGGAGAAATCGTCATCGTGGTTTAGCAGTGTCGATGAAACACAACCCATTTTCGTGAGTGCGCTCGTGAGAAGTCGGAATCAGAGGAGACAAACGCTTGGATATGTATGGGGGTAGGCTAGAGGAGAGGACTATTAGAAAAGGAAAGGAATAATTTAAGGACTCATTCAATTTTCAAATGTTGTACTGTTGCTTGCTACTGCTGGTTTTAGCGCTCAAATCAAAAGTTTGCTTTATTTTCAATGATGGACACTGTACTGTACTCGTGTAGGGGTAGAGAGGACCGCATCCTATTTCGCATGGCCCCCGTCATGAATGATCAAGAATTTTATGTCCATTGGGAATCAGGGATAGTGATGAAGTCCATGATCTTCACTTCACTTCAAAATTTCAAATAGGATAATTAGGGTGTGTTAGATTGTAAGGATGGAAAATGGGTGGAAAGAAAATGATTTGTAGGGAAAATAATTGTTTAAAAAATATTTTACAAAGAGTTTTTAATTAAGTGTGTTTGATTGGTTTAATTATTCACCCGAAAATTTTTAAAATCTTTTATTCGTTTGGCTTTTTTTACATTTAAAATGTCTATTAAAGTGATCATTTTTCCACAATTAGTTATAAAATTTGTTTCTATTGGCAAAAAGTTCAAAAAAAAAATGGAAAAAAAAATTGTTTTCTAAAAAATCATTTTTTGCATCAAAGTTTAGTGTTTATTTAACTTTGTTTTACATGGAAATTATCCATTAAAGTGA